AAATGTTACCATATAAATATCTATATTAAATTAAATAATAGAGATTATAAAGTCAAAATTGTATATATTTTACTCTATTATTTATTACTGCAACAATAAATNCAGACAGGGTGGTGAACGCCATCTACAGTATTTATACGTAGGCTGGTTGTTGCTCAAAGCTGTCTATAGTGTGCTGATGGGATCAAAAGTTTACTAATTAATAAAGTACACTTTATGTTTATTGTTCTTTAATAAGCTCAGAGGTAATACGTTTTCTATCCTCTTTTTAGTTGCGTACAAGGGTTACAGAGGTTTCACCCTTGGAAGGAGAAAGATGGTTTGTGAAAGCGTTGAATTTAGAAGATAACTCAGTATTATGCGGGACATACGATGCCATAATAATTGCCAACGGGCATCATGCTGAAAAAATAATTCCAAATATTCCTGGAAAGGAAACGTTTACGGGAACGCAGTTGCATAGCAAGGACTTCAGAAAGGCGAAAATATTCCAGGATAAAAAATGTTTGGTTGTTGGAATGGGTCTTTCTGGGCAAGACGTTAGCAAACTGCTTTTAGCCGTCACAGATAAGGTTGGTAAATAATAATTTGATGATGATGTTTAGTGTTTATGGAATATATATAGAAAAAATAGCAGTTCGGAAGTAGGGTTTGAGTAGGTCGTAGGTACATGTATATATTATACAAGCTTTTGGCCGCGGCTTTGTTCGCGTGGATGTCCTAAACACATGTCGAACTTTTTATGTTAAACATAATTTCTCTATCCTTCGGGAACAGAATGTTTTTTCTGGATAAAAGGTACCCTATGTTCTTTTATGTATTCCTGACGATATTTGTACAAAATTTCATAATGATCGATTGAATAGTTAAGACGTGAAATTGTAATAAACACACAAAAAGCTCTCATTCGTATTTATAATATTAGTCATATCGCGAGTATCATGTATACACTAGTGGCGACTTGACAACCAAGCTAATATCAAAGTGACATCATCTTTTATAAAATTCTAGTTGTATTGTGTTAATTAAAATAATTATTTAATATTAATTGATGAATAAATTTATTCAGGTGATTTAATTAGCAATACTGGGGCCCGGGGGGGACTTTGAAATTGTAGCTTTATTCATTTGTCAAAAAAATTGTAAAGTGGCAAAAATCTGTCACTCTTGAGTCAACGGTGCCTATTGATTTTGCACTGTCTTTCCCCCTATTTGTTTTTGAAAATAATATTTCCGGAATAAAATTTCAAAAGTCATATTTACTGTCTAGCTGACAAAACATCAACAAAATTTGTAAAATGGTAAACAATTACGTATATTTACTGTTTTTTATTAAATTATCGATTGCAAAATTGGCTAGACACTCAGTCAGGGTGTGATTTCTCTGTAATATACTTAATCTAAACATCTAAATTTGTCCCTGATTGTTACTATACATATATGAACGCAGTCGTTAAATGTCTGGTGGTTATGTTTTACTTTTTACCAGTGGCGGTTCGTGTATTAAAGAATAAATGAAGGGAAGACTGAAAGTTGAGAAAAATGGAGACTGACTAAACTTAAAAATAGGTACAGTGTGCCCCCGAACAACAAATATTTTTTAGAATATGTCTTAGGGAAGGTGTTGAGCAATACGAATATTTTGAGTTGAGCGAGGGTATACTAGGTATTCGGTATTCCCGAGAATTCTGACAGCAAAGAATACACGTTAACTACCGGAGATAAAAATTTTCAGTCTCTGAAAGCGAGACTCGAGTCTCTGTCTCTCCTTGAGTCTCTCTGGTGTCGCTAAGAGAGTCGAGAGACTGTCAAAAAACTGTTTAGCGTCTCTGAACGAGAGACACCAGTCGCTCGAGAGACTCGAATCTCTGAACGAGAGACTCGAATCTCTGAACGAGAGACTCGAATCTCTGAACGAGAGACTCGAATCTCTGAACGAGAGACTC